CGAGATCCGGAAGTGTGCGCCTAGCAGCCGCTTTTTTCTTTGTCTGCTTGTTGTCAGTTCCAGCTCGAACTTAGCGCGTCCACGTGCTTCGATCTGTCGCCTAATCCTGCGGTCTTATTAGGATGTCTCTCGACAACGTATACATGCCTTGCAAGTGACGTCAGGTTAGAAAAGGGGCGGCGCCCCTTGCCATGTTGGTGGTTGACTGGCACCGCGCGTATGCCCACGGCACGGCTTTGCGCACCGTTCGCGGCCCGCGCGAGTGCAGAAATGCGTCGCCTTTTCAACAAAGGTACGTAATTCCAAGTTCAAACAACGTGTTCACGCAAATCTACTATGTTGTTGAGCGAGTATGCGCAGAAGTTGCCGGCGTCGGTGCGATCGCGCTACGAGGAGAAAGTGTTGATGTGCGGCGGCAAAGATCCACTCTCGCTGTCAGTTGACGAGACCGTGACCGATACAAGCGCTTATCCCAAAGTAGAAGAGTGCGACGTGAAGGACTATCTTGTCGGCAAGACAAGCTTTATTACGCGGGAGCAGTTCAAGGCACACAAGTCACTGGAATCGCACAATTATCTGACGAGTGGGTGGGTTCAAGAGCCGCGACTGAAAGTCCTTCCAAACAACGATGTTGTCGTGATTGGCAAGGTAAGAGACTTCCAATCTAACCATAACGAAATTGCATGTTCCGGGTTGTTCGTTAAAGATCTGTCAGGCGTTCACTGTAGGTTGTAGGGTAACTGGGCATTCCGTAAAACGGGGGCGGGGGCGGCGACGGCGGCGGCGGGACCACAAAGGTGGCTAGTTCTGTGCACGTAAGCAGACGTTCAGATGCGCGAGTAGGTTCGACCAGTACATCGGGAGTCACTCTTTGCACATTAAAACATCTGCCTACAGTATCTATGTCAAAAGGTCGCTAAATGTAGTAAAATCTTTCTCTTTAATATTTTGTAGGTGAACCACTCCCAAAGTACAAGGGAAACTTGCCTGCAGCCATGGATACTAGTGAAGCAGGACGGTGAAGTTGTTGCTGCCCATTGCACCTGTATGGCTGGTCTCGGAGAGGCCTGCTCTCACATTGGTGCAATCTTATTCTACCTTCAAGTGGCGGTGAAGCACAGAGACTCACTAACTTGCACTGACAAAGAGAATGAGTGGCTTCCAGCATACTGCAACAAACTGACATGCGTTCAAATAGCGAAAGTTGACTTCTCATCTGCAGTAACTAAGAAAAGGCGAATGGATGAGGGAAAGCCATCAACAACTTTAGCACTGCGCCGACAAAGACCGACTCCATTGAGACCGACCGACGAACAGTGGAACAAGTTTTTGGACGACGCTCAAGCATCAAATTTAAGGCCAGCCTTCCTTTCGCTTGTTGATGGCTATGCAGAGTCCTACGTACCGACAGCTGCAAAGTACAAGTCCGCACTTCTGTGCACTTTGTTCAAGGACTGCGTAGCACCATCATGGGAAGAAGTCTCCGAGGAATGCGACAAGTTGGCAAGCAACATCAGAGTTGAACGAGAGGTATGATCCGTGGAAATGTGATGTTGGCAACGTTTCCCTAATTTTTCTCTTTTTGTGCAGGTTCTTCACCTTATTGAGAAAGAAACCAGAGCCCAGGCATCATGTAGGAAATGGTTTTCATTTCGTGCCGGTAGGGTGACTGCATCATGCGCGAAAGCGGCCTGCTCCACATCAATAGAAGACCCCTCACCAAGCCTGGTGCAGAGGATATGTTATCCCAGTAAACACATCTTCACCACAGCAGCGACAACTTGGGGCATTGACAATGAACCCCGTGCAAGGGCACAGTATGTTGAAGCAATGACTAGTCGACATTCAAATTTCAAGTGTTGCGATTCAGGCGTGCACATCAGCTTCGATCACCAGTTCCTCGCAGCTACACCTGATGGAGTCGTTAGTTGCGATTGCTGTGGTGCAGGCGTACTCGAGGTGAAGTGCCCGTATAGCCTGCGAGAGTGTACTGTCTTAGAGCTCACTTCTTGGAACAGCAGTAGTATCACTTTGCCCGATGGAGATGTCCTTCAACTAAAACGAAAACATTCACATTTTTGGCAAGTACAAATGCAGATGTTTTTGTGCCAGGTGAAGTATTCAGACTACGTTGTCTGGACGACGAAGGAGATATTTATTGAAAGAATCTTTCTAGACAATGACTTTTGTGCCACAATGTTGCTGAAGAGTATGCACTTCTTCAAGCGCGTACTGTTGCCAGAGCTGCGATACAGGTATACGTCACAACCTGTACAGAAACAGACATACGAGAATGTGGGAGACGAGGACGTCTACTGTCTCTGTGATGGGCCAGAGTATGGCAAGATGGTAATGTGTGATAATCCTCAATGCATACGAAAATGGTACCACTTTGCATGCATCGGCATGAAGAAAGCACCACAAGGCCAATGGCTGTGCAAAGAGTGTAAATAAAAAGAAGCACCACGAGGCCAATGGCTGTACAAAGATTGCAAATAAAGAAAATTGTGTTCAAACGAAAGAAGCAAAATGTTGTTTATTTAGACCTTATAATTAGGTTTCCCTTCTCAAAGAAATTTTTTCTACTAATTCAGGGGCATTTGTTTTCTGTCCATATATTGTGTTCATTCTCGATGTGGCATTGATAGAAACTTCTGCTGTAACTGAACTTCCATCTCTATAAAGCATCTTTAGGAGAAAATTATACCTAATAAACGCACCTTTTTATTGCAGAATGGAGAAATGGAAACAATTTAGAGACTATGCAATAATTACTCACCCACAAAAATTAAAATATTGCATCATGACACTCCTAGCAATCCCAAAAGTGCCCCATGATGCACATCAAGGAGCAATTACTTAAGCTTGTTGAGAACAATCACAATAAACAACACGCTGTCAATAACTCGTGTGCTACATACGGCACTCGTTGTAAGCTTTGAAAACGAGCAAAAACAAAAATTCACATACCTTGTTCACTCTTAACTTAGGAAAACATAGCATAGAAAACGGGACAACGCAGTTCCTGACAAAAGAAAAAAAAAGACAGCCTTGCAGACAGTTTAGTGAAGACAGTGTTCCAAGCCGCACACAAGCAGAGTTAATCAAATTGTACAACAGAGCTGCAAGCACTCGTCAAAGCACAACAAACAAAAACTATCTTGTCCAGTGTGGTTGCATCATCCTCATGAACTGCAGAGAGCATGTCTACAGGCACGATACTCTTGGTTATCATATACTTGTTCCTGAGGAGCCCTATCACTCTTTCTACATGAATGCGCACATTGGCCAGCTTCCTCGTGGCCTCCACATTCCAAGGCGCTAGCTGGGCTTGTCCCCTGGTGAATTCCGGCATCTTGAGTCGTGCAGAGCAGAGGCCAACTGACTCCGCGATGGTGAAGCCTCTGTCAGCAAGGACCAAGTCGCCAGGCTGCAGGTTACCCAGAATCCCGCAGCTTTCAGTGATGAGCTTGTCGCTCGAGCGGCCGCACCACCCCCTAGGAATGTAAGTTACTGTTCCTTGAGGAGCAATTCCAATTAGGTATTTCACCGTATTGTTGTGTTTATATTGGCTCCATGTGAGGCACCGGGCAAGATGCGAGGTTGGACGCTCTATGAAAATCTCAAAGCAGTCAAGAATGACTGCGACGTCAGTACTGAAGGCAACACGGAAGCACATCGGCATGGTGTGCACGAGCTGCTCTCTTGTCGGCCACCTGACCAGTCTTTCCAGGCCGAAGTACAGGCCGTCGATCCACTTCATCACAATCCTTGAGACGGTGGCTTCGGAGACGTCAAACCTGTGATGACAGAAAGGAGGAGGAAGTATAGAAAATGAAGACCGAGTGGTCAATACAGACGAAAAAAGAAACATTAATAGCCTTTGGAGATTGAGACAGGCCAATAAAGGCTGTAACACACAATGTAAACTGTGCATGCTTTCTGACAGATAAACAAAATACAATACCTGAATGCCAAGTCCCGGAGAGGTACATTCAGCCGGAGCCGGATCAGTGTGACCACAAACTCCTGGAACTGAGGCAAGGCGTTAATGGGGCTGTGCCTCACCAGTTCCTTCACGAGTGTAAAAACACCATTTAAAAGTTTGAAGTTTGGCAGTCCCGTGTAGAACTTGGTTAGTTCGTCCTCCCTCAGGAAGGCAGCATAAGTTAGGCACCGTGCGTTCAGGCTTTCCCGCAAGGAATAGACCTCCACCCGAAGTCGGTTGACCTCCTGGTTTAGGCGATCGGCAATTTCCCGCGAGCCGTCATCTGCCTGTGTTCCTGAAGAATAATGATTTGTTACCCAGACTGTTACACAAAGGTTTGGTAGCACAAGTTTGTGGGTGCTCTGGTAGTTTGAAACATGCCACCAGGTTGCCGGCAGGCTATCATTTATGGCCATCTCCATGAGGTGGCCAAGGGCACTGAGACATGAGAGGGGCACTCCGCCTTTTTGAAAAGCCAGCATTAAAAGGTATGTGCAAGGGCTTTCTGGGTCATGGCACGCGACAATAACGCCAATTAATGACTATGCGCTGCACGGGTGTGTCGTGTCATTCTCCGAGGCAGGCAGCAATAAAATCAATCCAACACCACTCCACATTCGACACCAGCGTCAGATTTTCCTTGCAGCTACCCGGCTCAGAGAACGACACAACACACTGGTTCAACACTCAGTCATGGCAACCATTCATTGCATGCTGCAACCGAAAAAGCTCCTCGCTTACTTTTTCGCTGACCTTTCACGAAAGGTGGAGCACCCCTCGCATGACTGAATGCCCTTGGCCCCTTTCAAATGTGGTGGTCACAAATAATTAACATGCGAGCAACCTGGTCGGACGTTTCATACAACCAGAGTGGCCACAAGCTTGATTTCTAACCAGAAGCGTACCTCTAGTAACCGTTATCTGCTCAACTTGACTTTGGTCGTCCGGTAGAGCAGCGTTCCCACCCAGTTGAGTTTCGATGTCCTCAGCTGGAGGGTCATCCTCAGCGGGAGGGCCGTCCTCAGCAGAAGGGGGGCAGTCTTGAGCAGCTGAAGGGCAGGCGTATGCAGCACAAGTTAGAATTCCAGAGCTGCTAGCTGCTGGCAGGTCATCAAAAAGTAAATCGGAACCAGTTAACAGGAATTATAAAAGAGGGCGAATTTGAACACTATCTTAGGAAAGTGAGGTGGTGACATACCTTGCAGAGCCCTCTTGTTTGCAGCGCTTCTCGCCTTGCGACGGTTGTACCTGTTTGCAGAGTAAACAGAAGCATTGTACTTCATGCTAATATCCTTTTAACTGGGACCCATCCTTTTCCCTCACAGTATGTTACGTACCTGTCATTTTTGTCAATGACCTTTCTCTTGTACCCCAAATTCAGACTGGGGGCCCAGTCAGGATGGTCGATATCGAACAATGCTGATGGTTTGCCTAAAATTTCCAAACAAATTATTTTTAGATGATTGAAGCCAAAATGTTAAAATTTGTCGTTAGATCTTTAGACAGTGTGAGGTTAGCCTGCCAGAGATTTCGGTGACACTGCTTATGCGCAGTACATAAGCCATTTATCCAGTGCAGGACTGCTAGCCTGGGGTGTTTGAGGTGCACTACGCAGTACTGATACACGACCGCACGCCCGCACGACGCTTGTTTAGATGAGTATCGTCCCGGCGTGCGGTCGATCCTCACCCCTGCCTGTTTCGGTCTGGATGAGCATCGTCCGCCGTAGTTCTGCATCACTGGAATGCGGGCCCTGTGGTCGCGTTCTCAATCCGAACTCAATGTGACGGCACAAGGCGGCGACGAGCGACGAGATTTGCCGTCGCTGTCTCGTCGCTCGTTTCTAGACTTCCGGAACCCATCGCCCGTCACTGCTGCTCATCGCGACTTGCATGTGGTTTCGACGGAGTGAGCGGCAGCGGGTCCTGTCGCGTCGCATCGCTGCGTCGCATCGCTGCGTCGCTTGGGGGAATCGCTCATATGTAGTTTATATTCGCTCTTCCGTAACCGGCGGTGTCGATGCAAAGCTTGCACGAACATAAACACGTTAGAAAAGGTCCATCACTCACCGCTAACGAAATGTATTCCGCAAACTCGATAGTGTGTGGCCGCATCATCGAAGTCGTCTCGCTTCAGCCTCCTCCGCCACTCGCGCCTTCGTTCCCTCGACAGACGCTCTGCCTCGGGGCCCTCCGATGTCACAATCGCCGGTATACGGTAGAAACCGCCCTTGAAGTTACCGGTGTCATTCTTTTTGTTACGCGAGCGGTTATTGCAGCCGAACGCGGCGCAGTTCACCATGGCTAAATGGCGGTCAACTCGACCAACTCAACCACCAGGATGGCCGTGGCCTGTGTGTGACGTCAACCTATGACGTACTTGCAAGGCATGTATTGGATGTGCACCAAAGCTATCAGTGTTCGAAAAGTCCTACGTCTATATCGGCAACAAGCGATTCTTCGAAGAAGTCAGGAATTCTTGCGGTTTGGTTGGGTTCGGCAACTGACACTTGTGCGCCACATCGTGTTGAAACTTTCAAAAAGCCGTTCCCTCTCAGTTGTGTTTGTGTGGTTGTCCTGCTTTGACTGTGTCGACAACTATCACGGATTACATCTTTCAAGTCCGCTATTTTTATGGTAAGTGCACTGCAACCTACTTCTTGGCACCGATTGACCGTTCTTCTACTCGTACTCTTCCAGATTATCTATATGATTATGCAGCCACTATTCTCGCGGCAGCCGGGTGAATAATTTCCCGGAAGTCAACCTTCATAGTCTAGAATTACCTCGGTTCTTGTTTGGTTTGCTATCTTCTCAGTTGTATAAAAGCTTAGAGTGCCTCTCACATTTCACAGATCGCTTGCCCGTTTGTACTTGTCTACAGAAGACGTAATAAACTTTCAGGAGAATTGAAAACAATCTTTTGTGTCTGTTTTCCTGTCCATTTGCAAGCACCTACGTGAGCACATTTGTTCTACGTGTTTCCTCCATGTTATAAATAGGTTTATGAGTTTCGGAACATCTTAAATAAGTTTAAGATAACCAACCTACCAGACGATCCCCGTTTAGGGCTAGCGCATAATTTCCCTATTCGAATGGCACGTTCAAACGTGTGGTCACGTGCAAGGTCGAACGGGCACCTGTATCAAATGGGTACCGTTTCGATCGGGTACCGTTTCAAACGGCTACCCGTATCCCATAATCACGTTTGATCTAAACGGGTCGACAAGTTTGCACCCGTTTGATTTACCAGTTTGCCACCCGTTTGAATTTCAAATGGTTTTTTTTCAGTAGGGCCTCCTTCCCGCTCTCGAAGCAGGACCGGTCGCCGCCTCATCGGAACGCGGATGACGGCCAGTGTCAGCAGCCTCTTTCTCCAACTGGGAAGCAAAAGAGGCAGCACGTGTCGCCTAAACGCACGTCAAAAGCTTCGCAGGATTTTCGACGTTCTTCGTTTCAGCACACTGAAGTTCGTCCAGTGTGCCTCAATTTTAAGAAGAGCGGGCACTTCGTCACGTGTCGTCCGCAGGAGCTCACACAAGAATTTTCGGAGTAGGAACAGCGCTTTGAGTCCACTGCAGTACCGACACAGGGAAACGACAAGATGATGCCTCTGACGCCTGCGAGAGGTCGTCAGTAGTTCGGCGCATCCCATGTGGCGCAGCAGTGGACACAAAAACAATTCGGGTTAAACTGAACGGACAGCCTCTGACAGCTTTCTTGGATTCGGGGGCGACGGTTACGTTTCCATCGCCGACCAGTTGCGCCTTCTGATTCAACCTTCTTCCATCCGTCTCCACGGTGCAAGGAGTCAATCCCTCACGAGCCTCGGCGAAGCCACTGCCACAGGGACAGCTGACGGACAGACGCTGAACCAGGCATTCATCGTGGTTCCACATCTTGAGAAAGAAAAGTTGCTCCTTAATGACAATTTTCTGACAGCCTTCAAGGCCATTATCGATCGGGGTGCAAATCGCTTCTTGATTCCTCCGCCTACGACATGTCATAAGGTCATTTTCGTTACGGAGCAGCTGATGCCTCCGCAGTACCTAATGCTTGTCCAAGCACGCCTGAAGAATCCTGTCCGAGGACGATCAACGAAGATAGAGGTGAGCGGCACAAAATCACTCTACGACCGTCACTGCCTTCTAGTTGAACCCACAGTTATGAATAAAACCGAGAGCGCGTTCTACGTACTCATGGCCAACCCGTCATCTCGACCAGTGGCTCTACCCTTTGATACTACTGTCAGAGTCGCTAGGGGGGTCACGTGTGTCGAAGACATCGAGCTTAGCGACGACGAAACTGCGTCCATCTTAAGTTGCTCAAGCCTGCCTTTGCCGGAGGACCTGGATCGTCCGAATGCTTTGGAAATCGTCGGCCCTCAACATCAACCACTATCGGTTGATAGGGTGTCACGTTCAACATTCGTTCAACGCTGGCACCTCAAGAGCTTCTTGCGAAAAACATGGCTTGCTTGGCGCGAACCAGCATTGATGTTGGAAACTGTCTGCCTGAGCAGCACTCCATTCCGACAGGTAATGCGAAACCTGTCTCCCAGAGACTACGTCGACTGTCGCCGCCGCTGAGTGATCTCGTCAAGGCGATGATCAAGGATCTCATTGATGCCAAGATTGTGCAACCATCGCGCAGTCCGTTGGCATCCTCTTGGTCTTAGTCCCGAAAAAGGACGGATCAACAGGAATGTGCGTCGACTACAGAAGGACCAGCGTGGTCACTGAAGACATTCTCTACCCCTTTCTGCGAATTGAGGACGCCTTGCAGACTCTGACGGGGAGCAAGTCTTTCTCTGTCATGAACCAGGTTTCTGGTTTTTATCAAATTGCCATGCGGCCAGAAGATGCCGAGAAAACGTCCTTTGATACTCCGTGGGGCCTGAATGAGTTCTTCAGGATGCCATTTGGACTCAAGGGTGCTCTGTTTACCTGTCAGCGTGCGGTAGACACTATCATCGAGAATGCCGAGTACGACCACGCACTTGTGTACATGGACGATTGTTTTGTCTACAGCAAGACATTTGACGAGCATGTGACTCACCTGCAAAACGTTTTTTCGAGGTTCTACAAAGCGAACCTGAAGTTCCAGCCACAAAAGTGTTTTTTTTTTTCTTTTGTACATCGGCCAAGTACCTTGGACACATTGCCACAGAGCATGGAGTTTCTCCAGACCCTTCCCAGTTGGCAGCTCTCCATAGGCTTCCGGCTCCTCGCAACATCCAGGAACTCCAATCCTTCATGGGCCTGTGATCTTACTTCTGGAAGTTTATCCCAAATTACAGCGTTCTTGCTGCTCCTTTGCGCGAACTTCTCAATAAAGAAACAAACTTCCTCTGGAATGAACAACAAGATGCAGCATTTGGAGCCCTCAAGGATGCCCTGTGTGAACCACCTCTTCTTAAGCTTTTCCGGGAGACGTACGCTTTGGCGTCCAAGCTCAGACCGACGCTTCCAAGCTTGTGCTGCGAGCATTACTATTGCAAGAGGACGAAGACGGAAAATTCATACCTGTAGTGTACTTGAGTCGCTCCCCCAAAGGTTTCGAGTCCAACTACACATCAACAGAGATGGAAACTCTTGCGTCAAGTGAGCTCTGGATGAGCTTCGCCCGTACCTCATGGGTCGTAAATTTAGTTGTTACCGACCACCATGCTCTTATTTGGGTGATGCGTTACAAGGAGGGGAACCAACGCTTACTGCGCTGGTTGCTCGTCCTGCAAGAGTTTGATTTCAAGGTCATCTACAAGTCAGGAGTTCTACACACAGCGCCAGATTGCCTCTCCCGTACTCCGCAGTCAACATTGGAGCTATGTGACAAAGTTCTCTCTGTCACATCTCAGGCCTTCCTGCAACGGGCTCAGGATCTCTCACGTGACCAACATGAGGATTTGTATTGCCACGACGTTTTTAAACTTCTGGACGGTAGTGATGGCACACGTAAACAGCTGAGGCGAGCACGGCACAAGTTCGTTGTTCATGGCGGAGTCCTTTATATGAGGGATCAAGGCCCCAACAATCAACGTTTCTTGGTCCGCCTTCCTGACTCGAAGAGAGCCGAAGTTTTGCGCGAATTCCACGGAGGAAAGTACGGCGCACACATGGGCATCAGACGCCCCTTCGAAGCTATTGGCACAAAATATTTCTGGCTGAAACTCTTCAGGGGCGTAAAGAACTTTGTCAAGCATTGCGATCTCTGCCAACACATGAAGATGTCATCTGCGGCACCTCTTAAACTGCTGCAACCGATTGAAGTACACTCCCTGTTTCACACGATAGGGCTAGATATTGTTCGACCACTTAACACACCTTAAGGCTGCAAATACATCATTGTCGCCATCGACTTCCTCACGAAATTTGTTGAGGCCAAGCCTGTGCGGAACATTCAAGCGG